CGCTTAAGTCTAAAAGGTCAGAGAAGACATTTCAAAGGGGGTGATGTTTAAACCAAAGCCTGAAAGAGAGAAAGAATTAACTGGGTGAGTGGAGGTGAGGAAAGATGAAAATGTTAACAAACAAAAGAAAATGTGTAGAAGACCAAAGGCTAGAGACAGCATGGGGCATTTTAGGAATTAGAAGGAGTATGTCTGGTTAGAGCGCAAAGATGCTGACTGAGGAGGTGGGCATTAAGTGTCTCAGGTCAAGTTGAGTAGCTCTGGCCATTAAAAGGCTTTAGGCAGATAGGAGCACCTGGGTGACTCAGTCGGTTAAGGTCATGATCCCAGCGTCCTGGGATCGAGCCCCGCGTCAGGCTTCCTGCTCAGCGGGGAGTCTGCATCTCCCTCTCCTGCCCCTCCCCCTGCTCCCTCTCCCTCACTCTCTCTCAAGTAAATAACATCTTTTAAAAAAAAAGAAAGGTTTCAGGCAGAGGACCTATGACGGGACAGGCTTCTTGTTTTAGAAAGACCTCTGCCCTCATGGGGAACGTGGACTGGAGAGCAGTGGGACTTCGGGCAGGGAACATGGCTGGGAGGCTGTTGCCATCATCCAAGTCGATGAGAGTGAGGGCAGACTTATTCAAAGAGGAAAGAGGAAGTGTAGACAGGACTTGGGGAGTAACAGCAAGAGGAAGAGGCTTTTAATACTTACAGCCAAAATAGTTTTCAGAAAAGTAGTGCTGATTCACACTGCCTTCAGCAGCCTTCTCGTGTTCCCACGTGGTAAGGGGGCTTTCAGTCATTTCCAGCACTGTCTCTTTGTAGTGGATACGACGGACCACTCCCTCTTTTTCTCAGATTCTAGAACATTACTCTGTCAAACTCACAAAATCCTTCACAGTACCAGGTAGTGTGTAATTTAAAAAATTAAGGAGAGAGAGAGAGAGAGAGAGAATCTCTCCTGAGTATCTTCTATGTCCTCAGATTCATACCTTCCTCCAGCTCCCTAAATGATCAGGTCCCTGGTGCCCTCACTCCACCCTCCCCATGGGCCACTATTACCCAGGTCTCATCTTCTACACCTACAATCCTTATTTCCATGTCTCCATACAGAAGACCTGTTTTTTCCAGCTGCCTACTGACCCTTTCTACGAGGATAATAAGCCTACATTTGAAATGAAATTTATTGTCTCCTCCGCTCCAAACTGATCCTTTTTAATGTGCTTCCAATCTCAGTTCATAGCCTAATCATCTCCTTCACCCAAACTAGAACCCATGAGTGGCCGTGATTCCACTTCTCCTTGACCAATACATTTAGTCCACGACGGAGCCTGTCGGTTCTACTTCAGGAGTATGCTAGAGTTCCCTCATCCGCATCGTCAGGACCACACGTCCAGTGCTGAGCCCTCAGTATCTTGTCAAAGGCATATCTGTAGTCAGCAGGCCTAGAGTGTCTCCACCATCCTATCTTTCTCTGCAGTTGTTTTCTTGTTGTAAACACAAATTGGGCCATGTCACTTCCATGTGTCATACTTGATGATTTCCACGTGCCCCATGACAAACCAGACCTTCAAAGACCTAGGCCCCAACCTACCTCTCTGGGCTCAACTCACCAGGAGCTATCCTCCAGCCACGGGCAGCTGCTCATTGGCACTCTTGTGCAACTCATTCTGTCTCATGGCAAAGTCTTATTTACTTCAAAGTCCAGCTCAAATCTTAAGCATTTTCTGAGAAGGCTTTCCAACCTCTTTCTCTTCTAAATAGAAAGCTTTGTATTAATCTCAGCTTTTTCTCTACTCCAATGGCAAGTCTTTTACACTTTTATTTTACTGTTTATCACATGACCTCATAATTGTCTATCTGGTTCTCCCACTAGATATTGATGATCCCAAAAGCAGGGATCATGGAACCCCAGAACCCAATACTGGGTTAGGCCAATAGGTGGCCTAGCATATGGTGTGTGCCCACTGCATGTCTGGGAAAGAATGAAGGAGGAAAAAAGATTGAGAAAGCATATTCCATGGGACTACTATGACAACATAGCCAATAAAAAAAAAATTGAAAATAAATTTCCAGATACAGAAAGTCACCCATGAACATTAATTTTAAAGATTCATTAGTCTCTGCCTTCCTCCCTCATTTCCATTTATTCCTTTCCTTCCTTCCTCAAGTCTGTTCAGTTCCCTCCACCTTTATATTAACTCACAGTGGTAATGGCACCTGTCCACCAGGATCTAATTTTATTAATATTCACCTTCTCATGATGCTAAGAGGCATCCTGACATCATGAGAAAAGCACTGAACTAAGAATTGAGAACCTGTGAATTCTAGATCATTAATTCTTTCCACAAATATTTATTGAGCACCTGCTATGTGCCAGGTACTATTCTAAGTGCCAGGGATACATTCATGAACAAAAAAGACAAAGATTTCTGCCTTCATGAAGCTTATATTCTATTAGAGGGAGAGAGGGATGGGTAATAAATAATAAACATAATAAATAAATACTTTGGAAGGTGAGAATCCCAAGTGCCAAGCTGGGGGTGGGTGTGGGGAAGGGGCATATTGGTTGCACCTTTAAAAAGAAAGCCCTCACTGAGAAGATGAAATTTAAGGAGCGCCTGGGTGGCTCAGTTGGTTAGGCATCCGACTTTTGATTTCAGCTCAGGTCCTGATCTCGGGGTTGTAGGATCGAGCCCCACATCAAGCTCCAGTTTGAGTGGGGAGTCTGCTTCAGATTCTTTCCTTCTGCCCTTCCCCTGCTTGCTCTCTCTCTCTCTCAAATAAATAAATCTAAAAAATAGAAAAAGATGAGATTTGAGCAAAGAAGGTGATGGAGTTAGCTAATACAGAGATTCATGAGCAGAGCATCTAGGCGGTGGTAGCAACTACAGCAAAGGCAGTAAATGGGTGTGTTTCTGGCAAGTCTAAGGAACAACAAGAAGGTCCATGTGGACAAAAGAGTAAGTGAAGGGAGAGTGGTAGGAGAGGAACTCCAAGAGGTTAATCAGGCCAGATGATATAGAGTCTCATAAACTGTTATCATTAGGACTTTGGCTTTCGTTCTCAATGAGATGAGCATTCGTTGCAGACTTTGTTTTAAGTAGAGGAGTGTCATGATTTGACTTGAAGTCATTTGGCTGCTGTGTTGAAAACAGATTGTAGGGGAGAAAGGATAGAAACTAGGGAACAAGTCAGGAGGATGTTGTAATAATTCTGGCAAAAGTTGATTATGGTTCAAAACAGGGCGGTGGCAAAGAAGGGGAGAATTCCCTGGTTTCTGGATATAGTTTTTGGTAGAACCAACAGGATTTCCTGACAGATTGATTATAGAATGTGAGAGAAAGAGAGGAGTCAAGGAATTTTCAAGACTTTGGGGCTGAGACGCTAGAAGAAGGAAGTTTCCATCAACTGAAATGGGGAAGGCTGCAGGAAGAACAGAGTTTGGGGTAGGAGAGGGCACAAGGGAATCAGGAGTTTAGTTTTTGGACTTGTTGAGATTGAAATGCCTATTAGATGTCCAAGGGAACATGTCAAGTACACAGTTGGATATATGAGTCTTGAGTTTGGGGAAGATTTAAATTTGGAAGTCATTAGTGAACAGATGGTTTTTAAAATCATGAGACTGATAAGCCCACATATTCCAACCCAAATACAATTATTTGCTTATCCTTAGCCAAATTATCTAATCCCTCTACTTTTTTTTTTCATCTCTGCAATGATAAGGTTAGGTGAAATAAGTGATTTTCAACTGTGTTCCATGGAGCACTAGGGCTTCTGTAGACAGAGCTTCCAGGATCAGAGAGATGTTTGCTCTCCTACTGTCTAAGCCAACAAGCAATCCTTTATTTTTAGTGAAGATCAGACATACATTTAGAGGTGGTACAAATTTATATTTGCGATGTGTGTGTGTGTGTGTGTAAGGTAATTTTCCAGATAAAATAATGAATAGCATCTCATAAAAAATGACCCCCTATATCTTTCCATGACTGGTCAGCTCTCAAAGGAATATGTATAAATAAAGGTACAGATTAGCAATAGTACACATCCCAAAAATGCTTGCCACTGTTAACAGGTACTCAAGGTTTCCTCTCTAAAAGATATTTACTGAAAATCATATTCAGAAACTAGAAGATGCTATTCCATTTCTTTTAGACCTAATTAATGATAGTATTTCCTTTGACCCTGAGACCATGAGCAGTTGATCATTTTAACTGTATAAAAATGCATGAAGTTAATGCTGGGTAAGGACCTTAGAAAAACTTTAATCAAAAAAAAAAAAAAAAAGGCCGGGGGCGGGGGCGCCTGGGTGGCTCACCAGTTAAGCATCTGACTTTGGCCAGGTCATGGTCTCAGGGTCCTGGGATCCAGCCCTGCATCAGGCTCCCTGCTCAGTGGGAAATCTGCTTGTCCCTCTCCCTCTGCTCCTCCCTCTGCTTGTGGCCTCTTTCTCTCTCTCTCTCACACATAAATAAATAAGTCTTTTAGTCTTTTATTTATTTAATCTATTTTTGTAAAGATTTCATTCATTTACCTAAGAGAGAGAGAAAGCATGAGTGGAAGGGCAGGACCCTGAGATCATGACCCAAGCCAAAGGCAGATAGATGCCCAACCAACTGAACTACCCAAACACCCCTAAATAAATCTTAAAAAAAAAAAAGAAATCGGGGCTCCTGGGTGGCTCAGCTGTTAAGCATCGGCCTTTAGCTCAGGTCATGGTCCCAGGGTCCTGGGATCGAGCCCCGCATCGGGCTCCCTGCTCAGTGGGAAACCTGCTTCCCCCTCTCCTACTCCCCCTGCTTGTACTCCCTCTCCCGCTGTATCTCTCTCTGTCAAATAAATAAAATCTTTAAAAAAAACACTATGCTGATTTCAAGGTTGCTTCAGAAATGCCACTGAAGTTTACAATCAAGGCACTGATGTGTGCTCTTCCTATTTTCCTCACCTATTAATTTTACAATCTTTATATTTTCCTAATCCATTAATTTTACATTATTGCTCTTCCAATTTTTCCACAGTTCTAAGGGTTGCCCTTGCCGTTGCCTTTTGCCTGGTGTCTGGTGTCCTAGTGGTGCTGCTGTTTATCCTCCTCCGCCACGGGCCCTGCTGGCACAGGGACCCCTATCGGAACATCTGAATAGATGGCTGGCTAAGGGCAGACACACCGGACCAACCTCCTGGGACACAGCATCTCTCAGTGATGCCTCATTCGAAGGACAGGCTTTCACCGTGTGGACATCACCCTCCCCACACCCTTCCTTTCGAGCCTGTCTAGAGCAGGGTCTGAGCTCATAGAGACTCAGGGACTGAAGAATGAGCCCCAGGTTACCTGGTTAGGTCTCCTGATGGTTACACTCTTTATTGTAGTGCAGGCTTCTCATTCTCGGCTAGAAGGAGGCTCTTCTGCAAAGGATAGTTACACTCTCTGGCACGGATGTCTAGAAAGAAAGAAGAAATCGAACTCCAATCAGCCTTTTTCCTGCAAAGAGCAAAAGGTTACAATGTGTGACAAAGACATAGATTAAAGAAGACTGGAAAATGAGGACAATTAAACTAGAAGTAGTATCACGTAGGATGCTTCTTAAGAAGTAAGACCCAATTAGAAGGTATAAATAAATCATTTCTTTAGCTGTTAAGTAGATTGAATACAAACATGTACACACTCCTGAAAAGAAACTCCTACCCAGTGTTTGGTAGCTAACAGATTTCTGTATGTGTATGTGTATGTTAACACATATGTGTATGTGTGTATTGAAACTATTGAAACTGTATTGAAACTGCCTTAGAGAGAGGTATTTCATGCTCAGAACCTGTAATATCAACTCCTGTAATGGTAGCTTAGGTCATTTCCCCCACAACTTTATAATGGGAAATAACTGGAAATTCCAGGCAGCCACATTTCTTCTTTTTTACCTCTACCATCATCAGACCTAGATACTTTTATAGTTCCGATTTCTTTATCTTAAAAGTAAGAGATTTACTTTGATGAGAACTCTTCATGGCCATGATGAAATAATAATGTATTTAATCACCACAAATAGATCTGAATTTCTCAAGTGACAAACTAGAAAGAAAAGTGAGCTGAAGATTGATGACACCCTGCCTCAGCTCTGCACTGGCTTCAGACCAACAACTTGGAACAAGTTATTTTAAGTCTTAAACCTTGGTTTCGTAATCTAAAAATGAAGAGTCTGGACTAGATGAACATAGAAGTCACATCTAGTTCTCATGTTTGGTGAACAACTTTTCATTTCATGCTACGGACTGGTCATTGTCCAAGCAAGCACTTTCATGAATGATACCATTGCATTTAGCCTGAAATGTATTCTAAACAATCTTATCCCACACTGAGCCTTTAACCATCCAGTTGGTGGGAAATTTAGTCTCATTCATTGGTAGGGTTCTTCACCTTCTCAGGTATTACTAAAGGTCCCAGAATGTAATTGGTGGGAAGAGTTGGATAAGGGTCCTAGTCTAGGCTGCTGTCCACCCTGGTCTCCAATAAACACACTGTCCATTCCCACATGGTGTCCTGAAGGTAGGCAGAGGACATCTGTGCATGGCTTCCAAGGCCACAAACTTGGACTTCACCATCCTGACATTGTTCCGTCCCCTTCCTGGGGTGATATCTATAAACCAGAAACCCTCCTAGAACCCTGCCCCATCTCTTAGTCTCAGGAATCTTCCTCTCCCCTTGGATTCCACAGCTTTCTCCTGTAAACTTCAAGCACTTACCTCTATCACTTTCTACATAATTGTCCCTGAGCCAAAGCTATTGCAAAAAAAAAAAAAAAAAGCCTGAGAAAGAGGAAGTTGTGTTCTCTTGCCTGGCAACTGCTGCTTCCTCCTGCAACACAAAAGGCATGTAGGCAAAGAAATGCAAGATCTGGCTTCATTCTCAACCTGAGAAGGGGAAAAACATTTATAGCAGCGAGAACAAAGGACAAATTACTCTCTCTGTAAAGTAGCCAGCCATTTTAGTAACGAGACCATAACATCTTATGCTAAGTCATGAGATTTGAAAATAGAAGTAGAAAATAGAACCATAAGTCATGAATTTTCTTACTTACTTAACATTGATAGAGGACCTATTTGCTAATCGCTGAACCAATTGTCTATCCCTAATGCAATTATTAAGGTGTTTGACCCCAACAATAGCCTTATACAGGGTTGATAGAATGTAAAAGTAAAAGCATTCACAACCTTTCCCTAATATCATCTTTTAATACTGGCAATAGCTAAAAGGACCCCTACTTTCTATTGTTTCTGGATTTTTTTTTAAGATTTTATTTATTTATTTATTTGACAGAGAGACACACAGCCAGAGAGGGAACACAAGCAGGGGGAGTGGGAGAGGGAGAAGCAGGCTTCCCACGGAGCAGGGAGCCCCATGCAATGCAGGGCTCCATCCCAGGACCCCGGGACCACAACCCAATCAGAAGGCAGATGCCTAACAACTGAGCCACCCAGGCACCCCTGGATTTTTTTCTAATATCCCCCATTTCTCTTCCTTTACCATCTCTTGATTATTGTAAAGAAGCTCTCACTCCCAACTTAATTGTTTCTTTTACCTTCCACAGAGCTGCTCTGTTGATAAACACTGTAATTGTTTTTCATAGTTCATAACAGAATAAAAAATCACAAGTGAGAAATGATCTATAGTGACAAGAGAACACAAATGCACTGTAATTCCTCAGGAAATAAGCTAATCATCCATCTTTTACAGAGAAATATGCAAATTCCCTCTACTGATAAAAGTGATCTTTTCAGATGGGTCGGAGAAGCTCAGTTGACACGAGGATAAATATTGTTTGAAAGATAACTGCTAGGATTGAGATAACTTCTGCTCTGCAATGTATTGCCCACTTTGGGCAATTTGAATCGGTATAGAGGCCTTTGTACAGGATTAAAATAATGTTGTAATTACCACATCAGTGTAGGAAAATGCCCTAACATAAAAAATATCAATATACATGTAGAAAAGTTCTAAGGAAATTGTAGGTAGAGAATTCCTAGCTAGAATGGCATTGCGTAAAGAAAGTATTAAGAGAATATGATTATAAAAAGAATAATTTGTGGTATTAAAAGAGTACAAGCCTTGGAAGCAAACATTTTTTTTTTAAGATTTTATTTATTTATTTGAGAGAGAGAGAATGAGAGTTAGAAAGCACGAGAGGGAAGAGGGTCAGAGGGAGAAGCAGACTCCCTGCTGAGCTGGGAGCCCGATGCGGGACTCGATCCCGGGACTCCAGGATCATGACCTGAGCCGAAGGCAGTCGCTCAACCAACTGAGCCACCCAGGCGCCCTAGAAGCAAACATTTTATTGGAAGTCATTCAACCAACAAACTTTTTTATATTAGAAATGGCATTTCTTCTCCCTGAATTCAGTCATGTTCCCTATTCTCCCAACTTCCTGTTCTCACTCTGTCTTGTTCTAATATTGTTAGCATTGATCCTTTTTTTCATTGCCAGGGGAGCTTCTTGGCAAGTGAAAGCCAAAATGTGAGTTTTCTCCTTCAAAACTCTCTTTATAGAAACCCCCTTTGAGTAGTAATGGATGTGTGCTACATATTGATGCTTTAGACCAGCACTGAATAATAGAAACACAATGCAAGCCACGAATAAGGACCACATATGGGTTTTAAAATAAACATAAAATTAATTCTAATAAAATTTATTTAACCCAGTGCTGTGAAAAAAAACCCACTTCAACATGTAATTAATATTTTAAAAATTATTGAGATATTTTTCAGTTTTTTTAAAGTATTTGAAATCTGATGTGTATTTTACCCTTACAGCACATCTCAGTTTGAACTAGATACATGTCGAGTTTCAACAGCCATATGTGGCCGGTGGCTACCATATTGGACAATTACACTTTACACCACAAGACAACAAACTTTTTGAAGCAGAAAGAAAGTTTTGGATTGTTTCTTTTTTTTAGTTTTTTTAATTTGCAAGATTCACTTTCAGGTTATTGTGAAGAAAAGAAAGTCATCTTTCTTATAAGTCTACATCTGACTGTTTTTGTATGTGTGCTGAATTGATCAAGGATTTTTCTGAAATGTTTTATTTGCAGACCTGTCTTAACAGCAGCACCCCAGACTGGTTCCAAAACTATCCTGTACTAAATGAACTAGTTCATCTTCTAATAAAATTTCTAAAGAAGGAATCTGACAACACACTTTGAATATAAGTACTGTTAGATTGGGGTAAGAGTGCCTTTTAAATTTTTTATTAAAATTTTCGTTACAAGTGATTGTATTTAAAACAAAAATAAATTCATTAATACAGAAGGGTATAAAATACAAGGTAAAAGTTCTTTCTACCCACTTCCATTCATCAGAGGCAATCCTGTCAAAACTATCTGGTTTTAGTTCTTCTAGTGACTAGCATGAATTTTATGAGCTATACTTATACCTAGATTTTCTAAAATTTCACATTTTTCCCTGCTCTTATAATGCATGATGTCCTCTTTCTTGTACTATTTTTTTTTCATTTTCTTGAAGTGATTTTTTATTTTTTTAAAGATTTTATTTATTTATTTATTTGACAGAGAGAGATAGCAAGAGCAGGAACACAAGCAGGGGGAGTGGGAGAGGGAGAAGCAGGCTTCCCGCTGAGCAGGGAGCCCGATGTGCAACTCGATCCCAGGACCCTGGGACCATGACCTGAGCTGAAGGCAGACGCTTAACGACTGAGCCACCCAGGTGCCCCTCTTGAAGTAATTTTTTAAAGGATACTTGAGCACTAAGCTTTCTGATTCTGCCATGTCCAAATATGTGTGTATTTTGGCCTTCCACTTACCTATCAGTCAGCAAGGTATACATTCTCAGGTTGAAATCATTTTGCCCCAGAATGTGAATGTAGTATTCTGTTGTCTTCTAACATACAGGACAGCTGATGAGAAGTCTGATTGGTATCATTCTCATCCAAAGTAAGTAATCTGGTGTTGTTTCTTTCTTTTCTTTTTTTTTTTTTCTAAATCTTTTTAAGATATTCTTTTTATCCATGGAATTCTGAAATTTCACTAGAACTAGATACACACTAGGCATGTATATCTCTTTCCTATCTAATTAAATCTGGCTTACACTTGTCTTTGACTCAGGAAAATTGTATTCTTGAACTTGAAATTCCTGGATTTATCCTCCATGCTCAACTTCTCTCACCTATTTTCCAGCTTTTTAATATTTCTGTACATCCTAGGAAATTTTATTTTCCAGAACACTAATTTAGTCTTCAGCAACTCCGTTCTTCTTTATTTCTAAGAATACGTTCCTATTTGATTGCTCCTTTTTCATAATGGCCACTTCTTATTTTATGAATGTAATCTATTCTTGAATCTTTAAGAATCCTACTTGGGGGGCGCCTGGGTGGCTCAGTTGGTTGGGCATCTGCCTTCGGCTCAGGTCATGATCTCAGGGTCCTGGGATCAATCCCCGTGTTGGGCTCCCTGCTCAGCAGGGAGTCTGCTTCTCCTTCTCCCTCTGCCCCTCCACCCTCCCACCCCCGCTTGTGCACGCTTTCTCTCAAATATATAAAATCTTAAAAAAAAAAAAAAAGAATCCTACTTGGAATTTTTTTCAAGTTCTCCTCTGCTCCCTAAATTACCTCTGTTTCTCGGGGCTCAGTTGTTTTAATTTATTAATCTT